GGAGGATGAAGATCTGTATCTAGTTGTCAAGTTGCTTTTTCTTCTAATCTGGGAATCTAATAGTTGTAACACCATTTGTCTAAAGGACATTTCTCCATTATATTACCTTTGTGTCTTTGCTTCATGGACTGTATTGGGGTGGATTTATTTTTGGAATCTGTGTTCTGTTCCAGAGTTAGTGCTCTAACTTTGTTCAACATTATATGGGCTATTCGGGGTAATGTGCTCCTCTGCAAAAACTTTAGAATCAGTGTGTTGAGAGCCACAAAATAACTTGCAGGAACTTTGATTTAGATCATGTAATATCTGTAGGTAAGGTAGGAAGCACTGACATCAGGACAGTATTGAGTTTTCCTACTTACAAAACTTAATCTTTCCATTTATCTAGATCTTCTTTGCTTTTATAAGAATTTGATAATTTTCTTCATACAGATCTTGATATTTTTCAGATTTACACTAAAGTGTTCACTTTGGAGAGTGCTAATATGGATGGTATTGCACTTTAATTTCAAATGCCATTTGATCATTGCCAGCATATAGGAAAATGGTTGCATTTTTAATATATAAACGTTCGTCTTACAACTTTACTATAATCACTTCATAATTGTCAGTTCTTTCAAAATATCTACATAGACAATCATATCATCTGCAAGCAAAACTAGTTTTATTTCTAATCTGTGTATGTTTCATTTCTTTTTTGTCTTTTTGTATTATGCAGGATTCTCAGCGTGATGGGAAAAGAAGTGGTGAGAAGGGACATCATTGTCTTGTACTGAACCTTAGAGGGAAACCTCTGGTTTCTCGCTAATTAAGTATGTTACTTGTTGGCTTTTTGTAAATGTTATTTATAAAGTTAGGGACTTTATTTCTAGTTTGCTAAGAATTTTTATTATGGATGGATATTACATTTTGTCACATGCTTTTTGTGCATCTATTGATATGATCATATGGTTTTTATTGTTTAACCTGTTCATGTGATGGATTTAATTAACTGAGTTTTAAATGTTAAACCAGTTTTGCATATTTGGGATTAAATGTCACTTGGCCATGGTATACAATATTTAATAATTATGTTATTATTATATTTGATTTGCTAGTATTTTGTTGAGCATTTTGCATCATGTCCATGAGATTCTAGTCTGTCACTTTTGTTTCTGATGATGCTTTTGGTTTTGTCTCCAGGATAATGCTGACCTTACAGATGAGTCAGGAAGTACTCCAGCCTCTGTACTCTGGAACAGACTAGAAAGAATCGGCGCCACAGCTTCTTTATAAACGTCTGATAGAATGTACTAGTGCAGCCATGTGGATCTGCCATTTTCCATTTTGGAAGGTTATTAATTATTGACTTAGTTTCTTACCTGCATAGTTTTAAACAGGCATTTCCTATGTTTTATTTCCTCTCATTTCTTGGAATATCAGTTCTAATATTTTTGTGGTACTGAACATTGAACCCATTGAGCCTGCTGGGCAAGTGTTCTATCAACTAAGCTACACATGCAGTTGCATCAATTAAACATTATTACTATATTATTCTTTTTTCATTTTAGAAGTTGTTATAGAATTTGCATTACAGATTTACAGGTAATCCGGGTTGTCTGTATGATAACACTGTAACACTGTACCATTTCATGGGCAGTGAAAGTGTCACAAAATAGCAACATACTTTGTATATTGCTGTCATTCACTTATACAAAAGCAAACATAATCAAATACATTGTGGCTACTGTTACTTTCAACAGATGCTACCTGTTAGATCGATTAAGAATAAGAAAAGTATGCTTTCATATACCCTTATTCATTCCTTCTCCAATCTTCCCTCTGAGGATTAGAGGTTAGGATTAGATCTACATTTCTGATCTATATCATGTTCCTTCTTTCTGAAGAATTTCTTGTAACATTTCTTGCACAAGAAATGGATTGGCAACAAATTCCCTTAATTCTTGTCCTAGAATGTCATTCTCTCCTTCACTTTAAAAGAATAATTATGTAAGATACAGAATTAATTTTCTTTCAGCACAGGATATTTTGCAGCTAGGTGTACTGGCGCACACCTGTAATCCCAGCACTCAGGAAGCTGAGGGAGGGGATCTACAAGTTCAAGGCCAGCCTGGGCTACATAGTGAATTTGGAGCCAGTCTGAATTGCGTAGTGAGACCCTGTTTCAAAATAACAAACACACAAACAAACAAAAACTCCCAAAACTCTATATATTTTGCTCTATCCCAGCTGTTTCCATGGCTACTGAAAAGCTGAATGTAATTCTTATCTTTGCTCCTAAGTAGGGTGTTCTTTTACTCTGGCTTCTTCTAGTATTGTTTTGTTTGATTTTTTAATTTTCTACATTTGAATGTGATATACATAGGTATAGGTTTGGAACACTTACCTTTCTTGATGTTCTCTAAACTTCCTGGATCTACAGTTTGGTGTCTGACATTAATGTAGGGAAACTATGCAGTTATTCAAATATTTCTGTTCCTTCCTCCTTCAAGCATTATCATTACACATATGTTACACTATTTGTTGTGCCATGGTTCTTGGATATTCTGTTCCTTCTCCTCAGGTTCCTTTTCTCTTTGGTTTTCAGTTTCAGAAGTTTCTGTTGACACCCTCAAACTCATACTCAGGTGGGGGAGGCAGTGTTCTTTAGTTCTATGACTGCTTCTCCGCTTCTGCTGTGGGGCTTCACAAGTGCTTCTGAGGTTTCCTCTCTTCTCTGAGGTGGGTTGGGGGGGCTCCAGGGGGCTGGCATTGAGTGCTTCCCTTCAAGCTTGGGATAGAGAGCTGGAGCTGGGAATTCCCTTCCCTCAGGTAATTAATTAGGCTCTGATAAACCTGGTTAAGCTGGGTTAAACAGTTTCTCCTGAGGCGAGGCCTTATGAGGAAGGACTGAGCACACTGCTGTATTTCAACATGGCTGCCTTCCCTGCCAGAAGCACGAGGAACTGTTTCATCTTCAGTGTGGGAACCTTGGCAGGGCTGCTGAGATAGAGTCACAAGACTGTAGAGCCTCCAGCAGATGCCTCCCTGGAGTTTCTAACTCTACCCCAGGACTGGTTCCTGGGTGTTTACATGTGGCTTTTTGCTCAGGTGTGTTGGATTCTCTATCTACATCTCTTTCTGTCTAACTTTGGGGGCAGTGGTTTGCCTGTGGCCTCTACTGGATCTCAGCAAAGCTGTTGAGCTTCCAGTTTGGTCAGTTTTTTTTCTCTCTTTTTAAATTAGGACCCATCCCACAGTCTTTATATGCAGACTTTTTCTTTTTCCTAAAATGATGACAAACATATTTTCTAGTCTGATGTGATTTTAGTGCAAATGGCCCCATTTTTGTAACCAATTTTATTATTTTTCCTTCTCATCCTTATTTTTTCCCAGCTAATTTTTTTTTTCTTCCCTCATACTTCTTAGCAGTTAAGGCTCAACTCTACAGTCTTTCCTGGAGCACTAATAACCAGCACTGCCTGTATTTGCTACTTGTGTCAACACTGAAACAAGATTGTGCTGCTGACGTGACGTGGATCTTCCTCAGGTCCTGCCCACAGGTCCTACCCTGAATTAAACTGCCTGCAGCTGCGTGAGCTTAGGAAATGCTCTCAGGAAATGGGAGGTTGGATAAGCAATGCAGTGAAAAGCTGTAGTTTTCTCTTAAACAGTTACCTTACATCTGTCTACACTGAGCTCACCTCGTCCCTGGAGTAATGACTTCCACTGCGGTTTCATGTTAAAATCACGGGTTGGTTTCTATTTAACTGGTCTAGCTGGGTGCAGGTTGCAGCATTTCTAAAAAGTCCCCAAGGGCTTCTATTAGGCAATTGAGGCTGTAATGCACTGGTTTATCACAAGGGCCAGCAAATATTTTCTATGAAGGGCAAGACAGGAAATCCTTTAGATTCTGAAGGTCATATCTCCATTGTACCTACTCTGAACTTTGACTGTATTCCCAAAACACATCATTTCTAGACACTGAAATTTGATGTATCAGAAAAATATTCTTTTTATGCTTTATCAACTGTTTATCAATATGAAGACCACTCTTTTTTCACTGGTTATACAAGTGGTATTTGATTTGAGGGTTGGTTTAGTAACTTCTAGTCTATAGTTTAACTTCTCTGCTTCTGTTTGGTTCCATAAGATGTGATGTTTCCTTTCCCAAACTACTGGTAACATTTTAAATGAGTCCTAGCATTGATCATATACTTTATGTCTTACCAGCATTTTATTCATTCATTTATTTATTTTTGTCTTTTTGAGGCAGGGTCTCACTATGCAGTTCAGGCTGGCTTTAGCTCACTTTGTAGCCCAGGCTGGTCTCGAACTTTCAAAGATCCTCTTGCCTCAGCCTTTCGAGTGCTAGGGTTATAGGCATGCACCACCATGCTTGGCTTTATCAGAGCATTTTAAAACATTGACATATATGTGCTTTGTAGTCTTAAAGACATTGTAGAGGTTGGGATGCTTTTATCTTTATGTAGAAAGCCTGGCTTTAAGTGGCTTAAAACTGTCGGAAAGATAGTCTGTCACTAAAATATAGGCAGTTGGTTAATTCAAATATTCCACAATGTCATAAATGCACAGTTTTTCTACTCTGTACTTCCTCTTACAGTCATGGATGATGCCTTAGCTCATGGTTGTAAGACGGCTGTAGCAGCTCCAGGTATCACAGGTGAACACATAACATCCAGCAGAGTAAGAGTATTTCCTCCCATGTATTTGTTTTTAATCCTAAGGAAAGTTTTCTAGAGAAGCCTCCCTTGCAGCTCTCCCTGTAATCCCGAGAGAAGGTCAGTCCCTGGCAAAGGAATTGAAATGACAAGATTAACTATATGATGCCCCTGCTGGTGTCTTAAAGGCTTCCGTCTGCCTTAGGGTGGTTTCTGGATCACAGAAGCAAATTGGGCTCTGAACCCAAAGAAGGAGGAATGTTAATGAAAGAATCAGCAGTGTCTCAAACAGAACCAGATTCTTCGCATTAAAAAAGCAACCCGGAAAGGCTGTGTGCCTTTTTCATTACCATATGTTTGTTTATTTTTCTTAACACTAGAACATCATTCAGTACAATTTCCCTAAAAGAAATAATTGATTTTCACTTAGTTTCTTTTGCTGTAGTCCTCAAAGATACAACCATTATTTCTATTAGATTACATTTAAATGTAGGCTATTTTTGCTGACCATTTTTTTCCTAAAAGTTTAAAATACTCCCTATATGACAAAAATGTTCATGTCACAAAGTTAAAAGTCATTATTTTTTGATCATTGGGAATCATCAATGGGTTGCCTAATTTGCATTTTATACTGTCAAAAACAAAACAAAACTTTTTAAAACTCACTAGCAATTATCCTCCATACAGACCCTACCGCCATCCTGTCCTGGCTGAAATTCAACTCTGTGCTGCTTTTGGGAAAACATCTAACCTGGTGGGAGGTCCTGGAGGACCTGTGGTCCTAGCTCTGCCTTTTATAAGGTAACATTGCACAAGCAATGTGGCCTCTCTGAACTCTAGTTTTGATGTCTGTAAACCCAGAGTTGGAATTATGTAATTTATAAGGGCTCTGTTAAAGTGGATCTGTTTCTGTTTACCCAACATTTGACCTTTACTTTCCAGTGTTAAGTTGATTTCTATGCTGGTAGAGTAGATTCAAATTCAGTTACAGTGTTATCCTATTATGCAGGAGCTCTGCATACTAATATAATGACAGATGACCACAGTGGTATATATGATGAGATACTATGTGATAGCAGCCCCGTAACACTATTGTCAGTACTATTGTGTAACTAAGCCAACCCCCCCCCCACTCTAGCAAGCAAATCATGACAAGCAAGAGTGGTAACTAGACAGGTGGTAACTTCTGAGAGCTTTGTTACTATTTTTTAGCATTTGCCATCTGTTCTTTCATTGTGAAGAGCAAACACATTTGATCATTATTTGCAACACAGTTGCCCCTGCACACTGGAGATGTCCTGTGCTCCTCCCAGAACTCCATGGACCTTGAAGCATTCATCCAGATGTAAAACCCTAAGAAACACTGGTGCACAAAGAGGGAGTTCATTCAGTGACAAAGCAGTCACCTCTGGGGCGTCCAGCATTTTTCTCTTGACTTTCAAAGCTAGTTCCTCACCAATAATTAAAAATGTTTCCTCCACTCTCACAGAATCTCCTTGTTTTTGTGTGATACGATACATTTACAGGGAGCCCAGTCATCTTCCCGAGAACTGCTAGGGCCGGCCCCTGAGCAACTTGAAGACAGGCTAGTTAGGAGGGCACCCCTCAAGCTTCCCCAACCCCGGCCAGCTGGAAGGAGTGTGCCGGTCACTAGGGCCTTTTGGGTCCCAGCTCCCTTCGTCCCTTTCTCGAGGTCCATTTTCTCTGTTCTCATGGGTACAGGCTGAGAGCTGTTTGAAACCATGTCCCAGGCAGCAGACTTGGCCGGGGCAGCCAAGGGGACCCTTGTTCACACGGAAGAACCCCCCGGGGCCTCTTGCCCAGCAGGGCTCCCGGTGGCCTCCGCATAGGAGGGCGGAGGACGCGCATGGAGCAGGGTCCGGTTGGCCTGCAGAGGGGAGTAAGCGAAGTGTCGCTCGCTGGCCCAAGGGAGGCTGGCCAGGAGGTCCGTCAGCTCGGTTCCCTCGGCGGTCGCCTGGCCTGCGCCTGCGGGTCGCTGCTGCTCCTCCGGGAGGTCGACGCCGAACCCCTGGCCCTGGGCCCTTGCAGCCTGGCAGCGCCGGGACAGGAAGAGCAGCAGGAAGGCCAGGAAGAGCAGCACCGTGGCCGGGAGCAGGATGCACAGGAAGGGCTCGGCGTCCTCCTGAGAGGAGCTCGCCTTCTGGGTGCCCTGGAGGTGGAGAAGGAGGGGGGTTAGGGCAGCGGGGGAGGCCCGGGGTGTCTGCAGCCCGAGGTCCCTCCTTACCACCGCGGCCCTCTCCACAGTACTCCAGCTGTGCCTCCTGCACCAGCTTGACCCTGCGGGCCTTAGGCGAGTCTACAGGCAGTGTGGGTGCAGACTCCCTAGACGCACGCCGATGATGCCCCCAGCGTCTCCACTCAAGTCAAGGCCTTGGAATAAATTTGAGTTGGGAAGTCTACCACCTGTTTGTTGGGGAGGGGTGGGGGGCTTGCCTATTTTATCCAGAATTAATGTTTTACCACCACACAAGGATCCTGAGGGACTGAGAGGACACAGTCCATGACACATCTTGCAGGAGGAGAGGTTCATTTGTTCTCACAGTTTAAGAAGTCTGTCCTTGCATAGTCCTTGTCGTGGTGGGTGGGTCTGTGCAAAGGAAGGTGGCAAACAAGGGAGAGAAACCTTTCCTGTGTGCCCCTGCATAGCCTCTCCCTCCTGGACCCTGCCTCACAGCTAGTGAGCGCTCAACCCCCATCACCCAACTGCTTCCCAGAGTCCGCTGGGAGTCACCGAGGCTCTTGGGGGATCTCTTGATATGCCTGGAGTTCTTTAAGGCTGGAGCAAAATCTCACATGGCTGCATGTTTGTAGTGCATCTAAATAAAGTGAGTTGTTTGGTTAGCTGGCACTTACAATGAATAAAATTTGTATCTTCTTTAAATTTGTGCTATTTATAGGGTAAATATGAAATTCTTTGAGATTTTTAAGGAAAAGAGTCATATTTTTAGGTCACCTGAAAGATTGATTTTGTAGTATTAGCACACAAACATGCTTTCCAACACAGCAAAAAATAAGCATGAAATGACACTTCACCATCAGGGCATGAAAACACCTTGAAGAAAGTGCTGTTGTAATTGTGTAAACATTACTTTTAATATAACTATGAGAAATAATGGAAATATTAAAGAGTTTATTATATAAAGTATAAGGGAGCAAGTGGAAATCTTAATATTTACCACTTATGGAAAAACATTTTAAAACCTTCTAGTTGTGTTAAAATAAGCAAATAAAATGATAAGCTTTTTATCTGCTTTTTTGAAATAAAACCTCATGAAATTTGAAGGGCTGGAATTCTCTGCTTGATTTCGATGAGGACAAATGTTTTGCTGGGGTTATCTAGCTTAAGTAATGGGTTATCTAGCTTTGTGTAATTGCTTTGAAATAAAATTAGATGGTTTATTTAATATTTATACCACCAGATAGTTTGCTCTTGGAAACAGATGACTTAAGGTATTTTAGCTTAAACAACAAAAAAATGAAAGGTTTTCTTGAGGATCAGCGCATCAGTGATTTTGGGGTGTGACAGCTTGGGCTTCAGATTCCAGTGTGACCTTCTGCTGCCCTGTGACTTGGTCTCCCTGGCCTGGATTTTCTCCTCTATGAAATGGAAACAGTAACGTGTATTTTTGAAGATTTGCATGAAAATAAAATGATTTAATGAGTGTAAAGCGTTGGAGGAATAGTGGGTATTTATATGTCCCTATATCTTAAGAAATCAAATGATTAAATTTACCAAAAATACCAAAGATAATTAGGGGAAGTCTATAAATCTATATCAAGTTAGAAAACATAATGATGATAAATTCTGGCATTGCCAACGTTTAGTACGTATGTATTTTTAGGAAAAATAATATATTTTGAGTATGAATAAGGTATTTCTAAACCAGAGATTACTTGTTTTACATATAATCTAGTTGTGACATAAGTTCCTTTGATTATAAAAGTATGAGAGATGAACCCATAAATAAATGTATTATAAGAAATCAAATTGGAGTCAAAAAGAAATTTGTTTTCTTCCACAATCTGAATTATTAAATGAGTTAATATTATCTTTTAGTACTTAAAGCAATAACTCTTCTCCAGGAAATATTTTTCATAATTTATCTTTTTCTCTTTATTCTATATGAATATGGATAATGGTTTCTGATCAGTTGTGGCCATCAAATTTTAAAAACTCTATTTCCCAAAACAAGTTCAATATGTACAGCATATAATGATACTTAATGTTCTATTTGAAAGATTTTATGTATTCACAACTATGTCACTTATGGTATTACTGCAAAAATTTGAGAAAGGAAAAGCAGCAGTCCTTGCTGGAATCAGATTCCCACTGGTTGAATTGTTTGTGCAAATACTAAGAACCCTGGGGCATTAGAAGTCTTCCCAATGGAGCTGACTGAGGCAGTTTCTTGTGATGAACTCTTTTATAGTTAAGAGCTGCACAGACTTTAGGACTAGCTTCCTATGATATCTTTAATTTGCTTCATATTCATGATATATCAGTTAAATTGTTGGGAGTTTTTAATGTAGAAAGGATATCTTTTCTAGTCAAATGTTCTAACTCAATAGCCCAAAGTTTTTCCTTAATTTTCTTATGTGTGCATTCACTCAGTGGCTTTATTGTTCAGGAAGTGTTTTAGCGAAATATCCAACTAAAGGTTAGCTGCTGTAGGATATAGCTATATATATGTATATGTATGTATATATATGTAATTTTCTAGAAAAGGTGGTTTTAGAAGATTTAAATACCAACCTTACAGTTGCATTTCTAAGCTTTTATTTTGCTTTTTTTTGTGCATGTGTGAGCTCAGCAATGTCACTCATTTCTCCTCTGGTCATAGAGTTCTTTGCTTTAAGTTTCTACAAATGTTTTCCTTTAATGCTGCTTTAGATGGAGACTCCTTGGTGGTTTGCCAGACCAGGCAAAGCAGCGGCTGCTTGTCTTAGTGAGAGGCAGTGCTCCTTAACCCCCTGCTCTCCTACTGAAGTAAGATGCTTGGTTCTGCTCTTAGAAACAGTGCTCCTTTCAGTGCTGAGAATGATGTAGTTGGGCGTGATGGTGGACGCCTGTAATCCCAACACTCGGGAGGGCGAAGCCGGAGGAGCCCTATGAGTTTGAGGCCAGCCGGGGCTACAAAGTGAATTCAAGGCCATCCTGAACTGTATAACAAAGCCCTGTCTCAAAAAGATGAAAACAAACAACTAAGAATCAAAACCAAACCAAAACAACAAAACAGCTGAGGGGAAAAGGGAACCGCTTGTTTATGTATGTCTAGACACTGCTCCTGAGCACAGACGAGCAGGAGGCGCAAAAACTTGGCGCCTGCTAGGCTCAGGTGTTCTTCCGTGTAGTTGATGTAGCAAATGTTTTAGGGTGTGTTTATGCTGTCCCCCTTGAATATTCCATGAGCAAAGAAACTTAGAACTTGCAAGCTATTTCCTTTAGACCCTGCCCATCAGTGAACGCATCTTTTTGTCTTATCCATAATATAAAAATGTTGCCCCTAAGTTTTAAGATCTTATAAATACAGACAACCAATTTCAGGGAAAAAAGGCTAAAAAAGTGGGTACAGACCTGCAGCTGGGTCTCCAGGAGAGGCACGCTTGGTTCGCTGGTTAGCCACTCGTATGTCCCCCTGCCAGCGTGTCCAAACCTCCTCCAGCTGCTTCCCAGCAGCCCCCGCATGTTTTCACCCAGGTGGTGCCCGGGCACCCTCCACCTTGCAGCCCGACTGCCACCGCGGTGCTTGCTGTTGGCCTTGGTCCAGCGTGGATGCGTTTGCCTGATGGCTGTTGGCAAATTCGTGTTCTGATGAGTGGTCACAGGGAAAAGAAATTAACCAGAGCCTTCAGGACTGGCTGTATTTAAATACAGTGCATCTGGATTTGTTTCTGTGGCCTGTATCACTCACTGTAAGGGTTGGCATCAAATATCAGCTGTAGAATAGACTTCAGGCAGGGAGGTTTCTGTGTTAGCATCATTACTGTGCAAAGCGTGGCTTCAGAGAGGAAATAGCAATTTCTACATAGACGGAGCTAAGACCCTCTTTCTTCCCCTACTGTGCTCTCCCCAGGGATGCATCGGATTAGGAAAAACTACCTGGGCTGAATTGTCTTATGATTCTAGAGCAAAGGGCTATTTGGTGGGAGAGTGGGGGCTCATGAATACTACTTTACTGAATTATTTAGATGAAAGTTGCCTAATGATAAAGTTGTACACAAGCCAGCCAGACAATAGCTTAGATGGTTTGGATGGACTGTTTGCTGATTTCAATATTTTTAAATCAAATTACAAGTAGGTAAATAGACTTCTTTCTGATTGTCTTGTGAACTTTACAAATAATCGGTATCAAATTTAAAATATGAAGCATTCAGTGTGAATGTTTCTCGTGTTGATTTTGGGCTATTTAATTCTACCCACGTGTTTTTTAACATTTAAGACACTGTGTCTGTTTTGTCTAATAACAGAATATTTGAGAGTGGCTCTAAAGTAGAAGTTTACTTCTCACAGTTCCAGAGGCTGGCTGGGAGGGCCAAGATCAAGGTGCTAGAGCCTGGTCTCTTACGTGAGCCTTCTAGCTGCGTCCTCACATGGAGAAAGCTAGCCAGGAGCAGTGTGAAGCATTGTTTCATGAGAGCCAAAGTCCTGTTTCTGAGGGAGAAACACTCATGGCCTAAGGCTCCACCTCTTAATACCAGGACATTAGCCAACATCTGTACTTTGGAGATGAAACATTCACACCACAGCAGACCTGGTGGTTGAATTTTCTCCCTTTAGTAAACTTCAGCTTCCAAGATTTACTCAAAATGTTAGAACTCAGTGTTGCAGCTACCCATCTGCTCATCTAAGCATCTGTTGTAGTTAGGGGTTGTGCAGAAAATAATTAGAATCAGGACATGGAGTTTATAATATTATTTTTATGATGGTCACCAGGAGTTAACACAGGAAAATGCAGGAAATCTATCTGCAACACCAAAGACGTAGAATATTTAGTCAAGGGCCTAAATCCCACAGCAATGTCCCACGAGTCCAGATAAAAACCCAGAACTCATGACAATGCCTCCCACGAGTCCAACTGGAGGTCCAGAGCCCACAAGGACTCACACCAGTCTCTTTATGGATCCATGATGGGAGGGCCCAAAGGTCAGCAGTGAAAGCCAGAAAGTCCATGCCAGCGGGCTGAAGGAGCTGTGCTGGTGGGATGAGGGTTCTACGCTGGAGCCAAGAAGTCACACTCACAACAAGACCAGGGCTATCCTGAAGGCACCACAGCCATCCTCAGCGACACAGAGGTCCCGAGTTCCTCTGATGACAGGCACAGTCAGGCACATGCCAGAAAGCCAGCGTGACCAGTTTATCCTGGAGACCAAGCTGCACACATCTTCCCCTCCGGAGCCAGGAAGCAGTGCTTGATGTGGGGAACAAAGCTTCTCCAGAAGAACCAACAGCTCAAACAGCAACTCGAAGGAGAACCCACAATGCCTCAATAATGTCCCAGTGTCTCAACACCTCCCTTCTTCTCCACCTATTTATCCTGGCAACTTTCCTCAGGTGGAGCATCTTCAATGCCATCAATGCCATGCTGATGTAATCCAGCTGGCGTTGTTAGTTCTTAATCTGTAAGGGCATCATTTTCATGCAGGTGATTGCTATGTGAAGGTCATGAGTCTTTCCTCCTCCTTCCTCTTCCTTTTTTTAAAATCTTCTTCTTTCTTTTCCACTGCTGCTTCTCTTCACTATGATTCTCATCTACTGGCCCATAGTGGTCTCTAGGTGTGTTTCAGGGATTGATAGACTTTCTAGACTTTATATATAAGTGCATTTTTGCGGGGAGCACCCATAGTTTTCATCATATTTTCAAGTCCTACATTTCCCCCTGACATATCGGACACACCCAGAAAGCAGCACACTGATTTGCTCATCTTCATGTCAGCAGCCTTTGCCTACGCTAGAGCCACAGAAGGGCCTGTTCCTTCTCCACCTTACCGACTTCTTTAAAATACCTTCATTTTTAAGAAGCAAACTGGAAGTCTGGATTACAAGCATTAAATACTCCTCTTCTGTAGACAACAAACCACACAAAACTTCCTGTCTTTATGGACACATTTTTGGGAATCAATAGAAACAAATTATGCAAATAAAATATGTATCATGAGGGTGATAAAATGCTACAGAGAAAGAGAAGGACTGAGCCAACGCTGAAAGAGGGGCTAGTTGTAAAGAAGTGGGAAATCATTAAAATCTCATAGGGAAAGTGATATTTGAGCATAGAACAAAGAGGCCCTGAAGATGCTGAGTGGAGGAACATTGCCTACCAGCGGGACAGCCAATATAAAGGCTGAGGCAGACACATTCTAATATTCAGGAGAGAGATAATGTGCCAGAGGAGTAGAGTGGAGATGGTGAAATTTTAGGTGAATTTTAGGGGCAAGTGGACAATATTTCTTGAGGGACAGATGATGGTATGAGGTAAGAGTCTAAGTGAAGAAAATGCTTCCAGAAGGAGGGATTTCTCAGTTCTCTCAAAAGCTACGGTTTAATGTTATGGTTTAATTTAATGTTTGTTATGGTTCAGATCTAAAAGGTCCCCTGAAGCCTCTTGGCTCTTAGGTGAGGCTTTTGGAAGGTGATTGGATTATGGTGGTTTGTAGCTGACTTGCTATCCCCACCTGCTGAGGTGGGGTCTGGTTGGAAGAGGTGACTCACTGAGGGTCAGATCTGGAGGGATCTCTCTCCTCCCCCTGCGCCCCCCTCTACACTTTCTGCTTTGTGTCCACCATGCTGTGAGCAGCCCTTCTCTGCCAGTCCCCTGTGCCTTGTCACCCTGCCTTGGAGCCAGCCAACTGTGGCCTGAAACCTCTACAGACTGAGCCCGAATACACCTCTCCTCCTCTACTGCTGTGGGTCAGGTATGGTGTCTCAGCAAGAAGAAAGAGAAAAGTCACTAAGACAATACTAGATTCAACACCAAGTGTGTGCTGGTGGGGAGGTCATAGGTTATTTGCAGAAGAGCAGTTTAGATCGAGTGGTTGGGAAAAAGCCTGATTTGGAATGATTTTAAGTGAGAAAAGGGAGGACAAGAATTGGAGACAGTGAGGGTAAACAACTTTTGACTTACTCTACTTGCAAATGAAGCAGAAAGGTGGTGCAGTAACTAGAAGGAGAAAGAGTCTAGAGCAGGGATGGGGAGCCCTGTAGAGCTTTCAGTGGTAGAGACAGCCTGCTTTGGCATACATGTGGTCTGTTCACCATCAGCGGGCTGGAGGGTTTGTACAACAGATGCTAGATTATAAGGCAAACCCTCAGCAATTCTACTCTGGAGAATTCTTCCCAAAGAAATAATCTGGTGAGGAGTCAAAAGATGTGTGTATATATGATGTTTTAACATATCTTGAATATCCCTAATAACAAATGAAAAATGTGGAGAGGTTGATAAAATGATTAATTGGCTTGTAAGATACAAGCATACAAAGATAGATGAACTGAAAATAAATTCTGGGAGGGTATAAATAGGTTTACAACATATTGTGAAACATTTGTCAGTAAATTGCCAGTTTCTTATAAAATCACATCTCTCTACAAATACGAAAATGTCACTATTATCTGGGGACGTGTGACAGCAGCAAAGCACATACTTAGCATGCAGAAGGCCCTGGTTCAATTCTAGCACCAAAATAAATAAAGAACAGATGATTTGGTAAAGCATGTTAACAGTGGCATTTTTTCTAGGTGGTAGAGTTACAGATAGTTTTTTATGGAATTTTTTTTGCTGATGTAGTTTGTTTTCTGTGAATATACATAATAGAAATAGGATCTAATAGTTTTAAGATTTTCCCATCCTTGAAGACCTACATAAAAGCTATCCTGTGGTCATGTTCTATAATTTCCTGTTTTCCTCCAAATTAGAGTGAATCTCTATTTCCTCTGGATTCCCAGAGCATGTTGGATAATCTCGTATTAGAGCACTTATTTGGGTCAGCTTTGTATTCTTTCAAAAATAAATTGTATGTCCGTTGACTTACAAATGGACTTGCCGAGGAGCTGCACAAGGTGGTGATCTCTGTGGTGAAATGCTTGTATTACAGAGTCAAGAGTGTGGATTTGTTGTAACCACTTGAAGTAACGGCAAACCTTCTAGAGCTTTCAGTGATACAAACAGCCCCCTGCCACACATGTGCCATAGGTTCACCACCACTGGCTTAGGGAAACACTGTTGTCTGTCTGTCTTTCTTTCTTTCTTTTTTTGGTACTGGGGATCAAACTCATAAATACGCACTTGCAAGGCAGGCGCTTATGCCACTGAACTAAATCCCCAGCCCACTATTGCATTTCTAATCTGCCTAGATTTTAATGTTTAAAGTGTTTTTTTTCTTCACAGCACATGCTTATTTTTTTCACACTACAAGGCAGAATATTTTCTTTTGTTTCCATAAGCTTTTCAATCATTCTCCTGCTCAGTTTGTTAATTATATACAATGACGGTAATTAATCAAAACTCATATTAACTAACTCTCAAATTTTTCTAAATATTTCAGTACTGAGATACAAAATTCTATTACATTTTCTATTACCTTCTATTACATTTTCTATTTTCTCTCTTTTTTGAAATTGGTTGAGATCTTAATCCATTGGACTGTTTTTCTTCTCTAATTCCTTTGAACTTAATATAGTTGATTTGCTATTTTAGTTTCAAGAACTATAGAGATTTCCAGGTCTTCTGATTTTATGGTTGTGGATCAGATGGACATAGGGTATTTCATTTTTTTGAGTACTGGAGACTGAACCCCAAGCTACCAATGACCTGCATCCCTCCCCGCCACCCTCTTTTTGTAACAGGGTCTTGCTAAATTGCTCAGCTGAGCCTCAGTTTTGCAGTCCTCTTGCCTCATTTTTCTGAGTAGCTGGGATTATACTGGATGACACTGTGCCTGGTGAAGGGTTTTGTAATGCAGGAAAACATACCAGACTACTAATGATCAGAAGAGTCACACAAACCCAAGATGACTATAAAATCATAGTCTTCTATTTTTTACATTTGATTTCT